CAATTTGGGGCAAAAGAAGAACCGTCCAGTACCAAACAAATGCCTCCAAGCCTAAATGACGCCTCTGAAGCTAAATTTGCAGCTAAATTGGTAACGCGGTATGTTTCTCGCTCGCAAGTAAAATACCTCCCTTTGCTCTGCCTAGTTGGTCTGAAAGTGATAAATCGGGCTAGCCCGAAAATGTTGTGTGTTCAGGCGGAGTGCAAGAGCAGCGCTCAATGGCAGACCTGGGTCTCCCACATTAAAAAGGGCATTAAACTCATTCACACGGACGGGTCACGTGACGTCCGAGAGCACGCGGGGAAAGCAACTGTTCAGAGTCGGCGAAAATAACGCGGCCAAAGGGTACTGTACGGAGTGCGCCAGTCCGAGGATATACAGCGCCCCCCGGGCTCCTAGCCAACAATGCGCAAAAAACCGCCCGAGTAGAGGAGTATGCCACCGACGCCTAATGCGACCCAGTTGTGCATGTCGCCCATTGCTAGAGCGGTGAAAGTCGCGGGGCGACGGCGGCGAGCGCGCCAACCGGCCGCAAGCGTGTCGCCTGGGCAGGAAAATAGCGCCCGGTCGGAGGGGCGCCGCCCCACCGTCTGCGCGCCACGCCCGAACGACACGCGGCGAGTGCGACCGCTCCAGGCTCCGCCCCACCGCCGCCAGCACCGGAAACACCTGCGACGCGCCGAGCCGCAACGGCTAAGCCCTCCAAAATAGCTCAGGACCAGACTTAGAAGCCGATGGGAGAATAAAACCTGCGCATGCGCCCGAAGAGACCAAAAAAGGAGGAAAGGAAAGACCTGGCAAGAGGGAATGGCCTCATCCCACCCTTGAGGCCGCCTGCTCGAGGCCCTTCCACTAGAATCATCTAGTATCAGCGCCAAGCCGCCAATGAGGCGAAACGATTATCTGATAATGACCCTTCAGTATAGAAAACAAAATGGACAGCGCATGCCGCGAGTAGTAGGTAGTAAGGAGCCAAATGTTCTCTCCCTTAGGCATTAGAACCTTCCGCTCTAAGTCCCGGGACACCGCCCCCAACCACCAGAATATCTGCGAACGCGCCAACGCGCTCAGCGCAACGGCTAAGAAGCTAAATGACGTGTGGACCACTTTAGAAAGAAGAAAATGAAGAACTTAGCGGACCAGGAGTTCTGCTGACGAAAGTGGAAAAAGGGCGGAATAGGGGAAGGTTCCGTCTCTTAAGCGGCTCAACTTCCCCCTCGTTTGAAAGCCACCCGCCGGGAGCAAACCGACACGCGCCAGCCGCACACAGGCTAAGCTATACCTCGACCACTTAGAGAGAAAAAGTGATGCGCCATGCGCGGAAGAGTCTTGATGTAGGCCGAAGTTCCTTAGTCTGATAGGGCCAACTAAAATCCCCGCCTTTAGAAGCCACATGCAGTCCCCAGAACCAACCAAGGAATATCTTGTGACATGCGCCAGCCGTTAAACGATAAGCTCATATTTCGACCACTTAGAAGAGAAAAAAAAATGACTTGCATGCCCCAACGGGGGAACAAGAGTATGGTCGGGAAAAATACAATGCTTGGAAGAGAAAAAGACAACAGAGGTTGCGAACTTGTCTGTAGAGGGACTTCAGAACTTCTCCACCCACACTTTAGAGAGCCCCAGATCCCCAGCTAAACTGTTGGAACATCTTTGCCACGCGCCAACGTGCTAGCCGTACAGGCTAAGCCTATGGTTCGACCACTTAGGAATAGAAAAAAAGTACGGTACTAAACGCATGCGCGCGACCCAGAGGGCAGGAGAGAGAAGAACGTCCCTCTTATGCGGTTCAACTTCCCCGCCTTTGAAAGCCTCCGCCAGCCAGAGCGAACATCTTTGCACGCACCAGCCGCAGCCGGCAATAAGCTATACTTTCGAACCAATTAGAAGAGAAGAAGATGGACGGCGCATGGTCGCAACCAGGTGTGGACGGAGAGGGGAAGGTTCTCTCTCTTAAGGCGGACTACCAACACATGCACGTTATTCCAGCGAAACCAACAGCCTGCCGAGCAAATCGGTCTCACCGAAATCAAACCTGCTAGATGAAAGACGGGTCCACTCCTGCTATAATAACTGCCCGAGACGAGGCAAAACATATCGGACATTCGCCCTACTCAAACTGCGTGGCAGTCTAAAGGACACATCAAAGGTCGACGGACATTCCGCCAGAAACACAAGTCAGCTGCTAAGAATTGAGAACGCGAGACAAGTAGATCGCTGCTCGTGCGAATGCCACGACATGTGTGGAGCGTGCCTTTAGAGGCTCAACTTCCCGGCCTTTGAAGAGCCTGGCGGCGAGGAGAAGACAGAATGTGTTATCTAGGCTATCCGGCACGAGCCGCGTCACTGACGATGGGTATTGCTGGGCAGTACGCTCTGAGGAAGGCCTCAATACGCTTGCCGAAACGGTTACCAAGCACCTATAAAACGATCCGCGTCAAGTCACGCGGCTCTACAACAAGAGAATAAACCTAACAGAAACAACACAAACTATCCGGGCTATGGGAAGCCTACAGCAACCAAGGAAGACAGGACTGGACCTTAACAAACGTCACGAACTAATGAACTTCACGAATTGCAAGAGACGAATCACCTTGTCGTTTGTAGGCGGTGCCCAGAGTTCGAATTCCCCTTAGCAGCAGAGGGCGATGGCAGAGCCACGGCTCCGAGTAAGAGCGATGCCATGAATGGTTAATTTTCTAAGTGTTCGAGCATAACAACCACTTGCACACGCGTTTATACGCAGGTTTTTTAAGGAAGGCCATTCAAAAATTAAAGAGAGCAAATTGTCCAGGAGGAAAAAAAACAGTTGGTAGGATAGCTTTAGGCTAATTTTAGGATTAAGTTAGGCGAATTACTGGAAGTGGTGAGCTTAGATCATCTCGGGATCAGCATTGTTAATGTTCATAACCTCAACATTAAGTTCGACGATGGGAGCTAGTTCCACCGGAGCATATATACATTGGAGTGAAACACTAGAACTCTATTACTTGTTGTTTACTTAGAAGGTGAAAAAAAAACGCTAAATATATACTTTAGAAAGCTGAAATAGAATATATGGTGAAAGTAGTGCTTGTGAATCGCCGGAATATTTACAAGTGCGAAAACAGTTTAAGGTAGGTCGAGACTGGTGAACTGACGAAACACCGATACCAAGGCCGAAACATCAAGCAGAAAAGCATGAGTGACTGTGAAGTTTTGGCACGAAACGTGAAGTTGCCGGTTTTGGTGATTATCTGAAGAATAGCGTACAATAAAAAAACCAATACTACTAAGATTTGCTTTGAACAGGTGAAGGCAGCCAACGACGGAGAAACGTTGATGAGGAAGTAATCAGAGGAGAAAGTGTGATTGTGCCAACCGCAAGGCCTCACACTGCTCAACAACCACGTGAAACCATCGACAAAATGGGTTGGGAGGTAGTGCGAATTTCAACCCCCTTAATGCCCCCGATTTAGCACCATCTGAAAAGTGTACTTTTCTGCGTCCGTACTAAAGAAGGCATTATGTGGTAGAAGTTCCAGGATTAACGAGGATGTCAAAAAATTGTGGGAAAATGAAAGCAGATTTTGCACCGGTTATAAAACGCTAGGTACCCGTTTGGAACACTGAATAAATGTTCGTGGAGGGATTTATATTGAAAAGTAGGAAAAAGTATGTTTTGGAAAAAATGAAAACTTTTAATCTCTCCAGACTAAAATGTCTCTTAATTTTTCATGCCCCTCGTACACAGCTGCCTCTCAAGAACCGTCTTCACGCATGGAAATATGTTGACGACATATCGCGCTTACGATGGAATATGTGCAACGGAGTTTGCCATCTTTCGCCGGTCGTACCTCTAGATGTCGCTAGCATGTATCAATGTCGCTAGCTTAAAGCCCTATTGTAGGTCGCATCTAGCGGCGATGAGCGAGAAAGATACGAAACGCCGTGACATGATTCCATCGTGAGACGCGAAAGCCGTAACACATTCCATCGTTGGAAAACGGGCCTCGAGATGCATATACAAATCGCACTATAAAACATCAGCACTCGTGCAAACTCAAGCCAACAAACAACTGCACCTAGTCCTCATGCAGAACTGAACAAGCACAGAGCTCACGCTTGCGGGGCAACAGTACAAAGACTCGTGCACAACGCTGAGCGCTAAATGGAAAATACCAATCTATGGTAATACAGCGCAGGGCTTACGCAACGCAAGTGAGGACACACACGATACAGCACCAATGTAACGGGCACTAAGCACTTGCACTCCGCAAATAAGGCAGCACAGCACTCCTGCCCTATTCGCAAGCACACGGCAACAGCACAACTTTAACGGACGTGCAACAAACGGGACAAACAAGCACATAACGCAACATGCATTTCACGGACAATAGAGGACAGGGGGAGCCCTAAACAACAAACAACAACTCTTATACAAACTATCCCCCCGAAGGCAGAAAACCAAGCACTTTCCAAGGCAGGAGGGGGGGCCACCTTATCTTAACTGGCTTCAAGGGGAACATGGAAAAAAGCCCACGAGTAAAAAATGCGAAAAAACACCAATACGGGCCCAACTTGGTATAAACATCAAAATAAGCGACTAAGAGCACGTTGGAAGCGCGGAGCAGAAGAAAAAGAAAAGATAAAAAGGAGCCCCAAAGGAGTTAAACCGCTAACACAGTTACAGCACTTAAATTCTATGCAACTCCTCATTAACGAAATGATAAGAAGAGTTAGAACAAAAGAGACGCTTTCATGAGAAGAAGAATCAAACCTGAACACTGCAACTAATTACTATAAAGAACCGGGCGCAGTGGAAGTGAAAAAGAATTAATAAAACCCACACAGGACTCTCGCGCACAATGAAGAGGAAAAGTAAGAAAACGCCGGCAATAGCACACCCATACGTATCTGCCACAACAAACCCGAGCAAACGGCTCAACCGGACAGCAAATAGCCCACTGTACACGGAGTAAAAGCTAGTCCACGCACATATAAAAAGACACCAAGATTCACCCACGTTTCAACCACACTTTTTGCCTCCAATCAGTTACCACCGCCTTGCATAAATTCTGTTAAAACGACAACACGCAAGGGGGGGTAGTGGCCGGGGGTCTTCAAGGAAGACTCTTGTAATGTATCGCACCCCGGACATAATAGAGACCACCACAGCGCCCAACCCCAGAAAGTCCACTCGTACCACATTTCACGACAAGCACCCAGGCACAGTTTAGCAAGTACAGCACCGGCACCACACACACCACAACACAAGAAAGGATATTAAACGGGCATCTTTATTATACCCGGGGCCTAAAACCTTTAAGCAATCGAAAAGCCATATTATTTCCAGCGGCAAGAAGACGTTCCCGGGACGTGAACCCCAAACAACAATAGAACCCCATACTTGTAACACAGGATGTGTAATACGGAAAAAGACTGCACCTCACGGACCCCTCTCACACCACCACGGGGCGAACTTCGAGAACCATAAAAGCAACAGAAACAAACGGCGCACAGTCGCCCCCCAACAAGATACGTGCTGTAGCCAGTCACGGCCGCAAGTCGGCGGATCATGTCGGATGTCGAGGTTTCGGGCCGGGGCAGAACTCACCTCCTACCACTTAGCTCGGTGGCCCAAAGAGACCCAAGTTCTCGACACACGCAGCAAAACAAACCTCTTAAGCTTGAAATGCTCTAGGGACAGTGGAGCGGTCTTGGTATATGAACCACGTCCGCAAACGGAAGTCGACCACAGAGCAAACAGATTTCCACACGCCCATCGCGGCAAACAATGGCGGGGGCTTCATGCCACAAAAAGCACCCGAAAAGAGGGCAACCAACGAATCAGAAAAAAAAAGACCAAAAAGGGCTGTGTCCGCGCTAGCCGAACTGCAACTTGGCAGAGCGGCGAAAAGACAGCCATCGTGCTTGCGTACACTCAATAGATAAGACACAGCAGACAGACCTCACCGCATACGCTATTGAGCAATGTAGAAACTAACGTACCCAGCGGCCAGTCATGCACTCAAAGCTATTACACAGCGGTAACAACACTAGAAGCAGTACTATGCCTCCGTAACGAAACAGCTAGCATAGGGCTCACACACATGACAGTATCTTAATGGCAAAACAGCTCACTGAGTGTGTGCATGCTCATTGATGGCAGATTACCCTTCATCGCACGCGTACTCCAACAAATCTACATTACGCATGTACTTGCGGTACAAACATGCATATGGCACTACATACAGTCATTGCAACACAACATACAGTCATGCAACCGACAAACACTACAGTCATGCAACCTGAAAAACATACAGTCATGCACCACAAACATACAGTATGCAACACAAAAATACAGTCATGCAAAACGGCTCACCCAACCGCATTCATCCAAACACCCAACTGTACATCATCCAAACAAACCACATTCATCCAAACACAACATACATCTCATCAAGAAGCCACATTCATCCATCAAAACACCATTCATCATCCAAACACCCATTCATCATCCACCCATTCATCCACGAACCACCATATCCATGCCAAAAGTATATCAACACATTCATCCAAACAAACAACCCGATTCATAAAACACACACCCATTAACATCCCCAAACACCCATTTCTCATCCCTCAAAAGCACCCATTCATCCCTCAAATACACCGGCATTCATCACCATACCAAAACCCATTCATCACCTCCAAAAACCCACATTCATCCCTCCAAACACCAAACAGTCATCCCTACCCAAACACCATTCATTCCCTCACCACACCCATTCATCCCTTACACAAAAACACCATTTCATCCCTCCAAACACCCATTCATCGCCTCAAACCACCACCCCATTCATCCCTCCAAACAGCCGGCGAACTGGCATCCTCCAAACACCCATTCATCCATTCCAAACACCCATTCCATCCTTCAAACCACCCATTCATCTCCAAACACCCATTCATCCTTCCAAAACACCCATCATCCATCCAAACACCCATTCATCCTCCAAACACACATTCATCCTTCAAACAAACACATCATCTCCATCCTCTCCAAACACACATTCATCCAAAGGTAGATACAGTGCGCCACTTGGCAGCGGGCCGCCCACCTCGCGCGCGGCGCTGGCCGGCGTGCGCGGCGCGGCGCGGCGCGGCGGTGCGGGCGCGCAGGCCGCACTTGCGCGAGAAGAGCCCGTCGCGGCGCAGGCGCAGCCGCACGTACAGCGCGCAGAGCGCGCGCGCCTGCTCCGCCAGCTGCGCCGCCTGCGCCTGCGCGTGCGCAGCGCCCAGCCCGGCCATGGCCGCCACGGCCTCGGCGCCGCCGCGCCACCCGGCGCCCAGCGTGTGCGACAGCTTGCGCGACACCGCGTCGCCCACGTTGGAGAAGCGCCGCCGGCCCGCGCCGCTCGACGACGACGACGCCGCCGCCGACCCGCCACCGCCGCCCACGGCGCCCACGCCTGCAACAGGGGTTGCCGCTGCTGTAGGCGGGGAATCGGAATAAATGTTACAATGTTCTAAAGCACGGGTCTTACATTGATTCATAACTAGGGATTCCGGATACTTCAATTGCTATTTTTCCAGTAAGTGTCGTTCATGCTCTCTCTCTCTCTCTCTCTCTCTCTCTCTCTCTCGAGAGAGAGAGAGAGACATAGAGAGTGCTGGGATACGGTGTAGAGGATGGTTAGGGAATAAATGTTACAATGTTCTAAAGCACACGTGTCTTATAATGATTCATTACTAGGGATTCCGGATACGTCAACTATTATTTTTCCGCAAGTGTAGATCATGTTCTCTCTCTAGGGAGAGTGCTGCAATACGGTGTAGAGGACGATTCGAAATAAATGTTACAATGTCCTAAAGTACACGTGTCTTAGAGTTATTAATAAGAGTGATTACGCATGCGTCAACTGCGGATGTCTCGTAAGTATGGTGCATGTTCTCTCTCTCTCCCTCCCTCTCGAGAGAGTGCTGTTACGGTGTAGAGGGTGAATAAATGGTAAATGGTAAAAGCTCGGAGGCACAGATGTCTTACATTGATTGATTACTAACGATTCCGGGTGCGTCAATGGCAAAACGCATTAATCCCGTAAAAGCAGTGCATGCTTTGTCTATCGGCAGGTTACGGAGTTATGGTCTAGAGGGGGACTCGGAATAAATGTTAAATGTCGTAAAGCACACGTGTCTTACACTGATTAATTAGCAGTGATTCCGGGTGCGACAATTGCTATTTTTCTCGTGTGTAGTGTAGTGCATGTTTCCGCACTCTCTCTGGAGAGCGACGTATTACGGTTGCAAAAGTGATTCGGAATAAATATTACAACGTTCTAAAGCATTCAGGTCTTTGATTGCTTTCTAGCGATTCTGGTTACATGAACTGCTAAGATCATTAGTCCAGTAAGTGTAGTGCATGTTTTATCTCTCGGGAGGTCTCTGTGTTACGGTGTAGAGGGTGACTCGGAAGAAATGTTACAATGTGCTAAAGCACATACGTCTTATATTGATTACTAGTAATTCTGGGTGCGTCAACAGACATGATCATTAGTCCCGTAAGTGTACTGCATGCTTTTCTCCCGGGTTTTTGGCGGTGGTTTAGCTTCGCTGGCCCGCGAGTTATGGTGGGGGTTGCTGTCTTGTGGTGTACAGACGGCTCTGAATAAATGGTACGGTATTTATTTTCACTTTTATTTTATTATTATCTAATATATAAAATCAATGTTTGTAGGTTTCTTTTCTCGTATTTCATGCTCCAACGTACCGTTTATCCGAATATGATAAAAACTTTGTCAACTTATTCCTTGCACTTAATGCGGATTAATTGCGGAAGCATAAGGCATAGTAGAATGGGAACGTGGGTGTGTCTGTCGTACATAGACCCGCGTTGTTGATGATTTTATGCGTTTATGCTGACTCAAGCACCCCTGAACAGAAGGACTACGCAACCCGACGCACACGCAACTATTAGGCACGTCTCAGCTGCCTATTCTGCCTTGCGATTGTGAAATATCGGCCGATGTTATTACTTGAACACGTTAGTCAGAATTAATGTTGTACTAAAGTATAAGGGGTATCTCACCAAGTCTCAGGTTAAATGTTACAATTTTTCAAGGCACACATAATGTCTCAGAATAAATGTTATACTTTTTTAGAAAAAAACATCTGTCTCATAATAAATGTTAGAATTCCCTAAGGCATACAGCCTGTCCTATCTTACACCTTTCTAGGCAATGTAGAAGAGGGTTTAGAAGAATTTGGAACATTTGTGAATCCACATGTAGGAAATAAGTAATAATATTTCACATGTGTAGTTTGCCTCAATTCATCATGCATTGATGAGATATTACTGCAATGAAGTCTCTTTGCGCCAGCAACACCGCTACATATTACGTTCAAAATCACACAGCGGCAAGTTTCACATTTAGTTGGGAAAGGAACAATAATGTCGGTCTGGATACGTGTTGCACATATGTTGCTACTTTTCAATTCGTTGGCATCCCTGGCAATTGTAAGTTTACAAATGAAAATTCAGATGTCAGCATCCTGTAACCTTTCTGGACAGGCAATTACTCCGGAAATATGTACCGCATTGTAATTGCATAAATGATGTTGCTGTGCAACCAATGAATTTTAATAATTTCATCATGGCGATACGTTTACTGCGCGGAAAACATTTCGGACGTAATTACCTCTCCAAAATGGTGACAGAGTTGTGACATTTGAATATTATATAACGGTCAATACTTTGGGCTTATTAAACCGTTCCAAGATCAGTGGCTAGAGCAACTGAGGGCAAGTCAAGAAACCCGGGTTAGGTGTCCAGTCGTGGAGACAATTTTTTGAACAAAGTTAATTATTAAAATGAAAATTGTAAAAATGTTTCCAGCGCTATTAAATGCTACCCTTAGTGTTAGAAATGTTGGCGAAGTCTGGATATATTGTTTCTCGAGATTGCGATCTGAAGATAAGCGACTTCGTTACAAGAAATTTTCACTACAAATTCATTGGCAAAAGGTGATTATTTGCGCCAGGTCGTTAATATGACTGGAAGTTTGTAACATTTATTAAGAGAGATCTTGTCTACAGTCTCTTGAGCTTTGGGCGTTTGCGATTTTCAAATAAATGAAAGACGCAATCGCCTATCGAAGAGAGAAAGTGATCATTTTTTACTCCGACCAGTAGTTCTCGACAGGGCAAGTACCAAACCCGAGTAATCGATATTTTTAAAATTCATGAGAAATGAAAATATAATAATCACGTTGATAATGAAGTGTATTCTTGCAAAAAACTTCAAAACGTCTAAAAGGAAATAATAAATTAGCTCCTTTTTTAATTTAACATGATTTTCGCAAATGAAAACGGAATAGAACAATTAGAATATGTGATTTTGATTCTGTGAACGTATTTACATGTATTTTTAAAACATAACTTTAATAAAAAGTATGGTAAACCATATGTTCATTTTTTTCTAATTGATATATTTAAGTCATTTATGAGCAATTGTTTGTAATTGCGTGTGCACCCGCGTTAAAGCGGTTTGTTAAGATCTTGACGTTCACGAATTCAGGGGAAACACAAAGCCAAAATCTAAAATATTTGAGGTTTTTGGAATTTCAGCTTTTTAATTTAGAGTTCTCTGAGTAAAAGAGTGTACACGTCTATCGCACACATTTGTGAAATGCAGCTTTTAACATATTTTTTCTTTTATTCTCCTTATCTACTAATCTCCAAATGGCAAACTTTTTTATTTAAGGAGTCTCTCATTTAAGTTGTATCATTTGAACGAAGTCCTCTAATAGGCTCTGGTTTTCACTCAATGATCGAGAACAGTTTATTCTTTAATGTTGCTTGCACAACAAACCTTTATCTTCTATGACTATTTACGCAATTGTGTTTTGCTTATTTGTTCACATCAAGGTGACTGGTTTCGCAGAAATTTCCACTCTAATTACTGAAAAATTACAACATTTTTGAATACACATGTCCCATTATTTCTGAATGTATTGAAGAGGTAACCATAAAATTTGTGTAGATCAGTTCAATTAAAAATGAATATATAGTATCAAAATGGGTGGAGTAAATTGTATGCTTAAGGATTTCACGAAAGTACAGAAAAAATGATATAAAAAAAATTACGTTTACTTCAAATATGATGTAAATTACAAACATTGATAAAACTATGTAAATCTGCTTGTATTTACTTAAAATATTTCTAGGAAGTTTCTGCAATAATAGGTCAATGTACAGCCAAATTAACATAGAGATTGGGCAGAATGTCACCCCCAAAAGCAATTTATTTGTAAGGGTCTCCACGTTCGCACGTTTCCCAGGTTACGACAACACCGTAATTTCTTTATCGGGTTCGCGTAGTTCCCGCGTAAAGACAACACCCGAATTTCTATGTCAGGGTGTCCCCGTTCGCGCGGTTCTCGCGTAAAGAAGGTTCTCACGTGGTCACCTAAAAATCTACCTGTGTGCCCCTCCGCGACGTTCCCGCATGAAATCAACACCGGAATTTCTTTGTCTAGGTCTCCCGGTTTGCGCGGTTCCGCGTGAAAGCAACACTGCAATTTCTTTGTCGGGGTTTTCCCGTTCGCGCTGTTCCTGCGTGAAGACAACATCGCAAGATCTTTGTCTGGGTCTCCCGGTTTGCGTGTTTCCGAGTTAAGGCAACACTGCAATTTCTTTTTTGTTTTTTTCTGTTCGCGAGGTTCCCGCATGAAGACAACACCGCAATTTCTTTGTCTGGGTCTCCCGGTTTGCGCGGTTCCGCGTGAAAGCAACACTGCAATATCTTTGTCGCGGTTTTCGTGCTCGCGCGGTTCCTGCGTGAAGACAACACCCGAATTTCTTTGTCTGGGTCTCCCGGTTTACGCGGTTCCGCGTTAAAGCAGCACTGCAATTTCTTTGTCGGTTTTTTTCCGTTCGCGCGGTTCCTATGTAAAGACAAAATCGCAATTTCTTTGCCTGAGTCTCCCGGTTTGCGTGTTTCCGCGTTAAAGCATCACCGCAATTTCTTTGTCGGGGTTTTCCTGTTCGCGCGGTTCCTGCGTGAAGACAACACCGCAATTTCTTTGTCTAGGTCTCCCGGTTTGGGTGATTCCGCGTTAAGGCAACACTGCAATTTCTTTGTCGGGGTCTTCCCGTTCGCGCGGTCGCCGTGCGCTCGCACCGGAGGCGGTGAGCCCCAGGAGGCTGGAGTGCAGCGCGGCCGGGAAGCTGAGCTTGCGGCGGTGCAGCGGCGGCGCCGGCGCGCGGCTGGGGCGGCTGCCTGCGGCGTCGTCGTCTCCAGGCGGGGCCTTCTCCTCCAGCAGCCTGCAACACAGCGCGCCGCGCGATCAGTTACATGCCGATGGTCGATTGATCAGTCGCACACCGATGATCGAGTGATCAGTCGCACACCGATGCTCGAGTGATCAGTCGCACACCGATGCTCGAGTGATCAGTCG